AGATTACCACTCTAAGACTGTCAAAACATGAATACAATGAAATTTTAAATACTACCACTATTACTAAATTTTATAAAGTCCTTATGTCTCCGAGTTCTCTTTAAAGGATTTTGTGTGCTTAGGGATGTGGACTAGCTCTGGTGATTTCAAAGGCAAGACAACTCCCAGGTAAGGGAAATCCCTCTACCAGAACAGGCTGGCACCTTTTCTGACCCTTAGAGTCTTAAGAGAGTGGTCTAAGATTAAATGACCTGCCCTAGGCCACAGGCTGGATATGAGCCCAGTTACTGCTGCCATTGAGCTAATCTGGGTCTGGAAACTCAGAGCAGCAGCATGTTACCATGAACCATCACCTGCTAGGTGATAAAATGAGTACTCACCTTCCTGGCCCAGCACAAGGTACTGAGGAGCCAGACCGGATGAGTGCACAGAGCTCACCCAGATTCTAAACACTGCTGTATTGGTCCAATCAGGACAACACTGGGAAAGCCTGCATATGTACTGTTTTGTTTTTGTTTTTTTTTGCAAAATAACTAAGGGATTCCTGTAAGAGTCAAGATTCAATGTTTTTTCCCCTCTCCTAATCTAATGGAGTTTAAAACTTCTATCCACCTACAGATCTTAAGGCCCAAGTCCAATTTGTTGAGTGATTCCAGTGTGCCAAGGACGCACTACAGCTACATCCCCGCTCTCCACGAAGCAAAGGTGCTGAACTCTTCTAGGAGCAGAGCACACAAGGATACTAAAGCTTCTGTCTGTGATTTCTAAGTGCCACAGATTGATTCTCAGGTCATCGGCAGAGAGGTATGTCTCATGATCACTGTTGACAGAAATGGAGTTGATGTGATAGGTGTGTGCGTTGGCGAATATCCTTCGAGGACTGGCTTCTACCATCAGATCCATGGGCTTCAGTATGGGAACCTACAAGACAGACGAAGACAGACCTGTCATCAAGAAGGTGTGAAATGAGGCAGTGTGCAGAAACATACAAAAACGGGTCAAGAAAACATCCACGTTCACAACACAGGCAAGAGACCACGTCAGAGGGACACCTCAGGCAGAAGCAGAGCTGTGGCTTGAGGGATTCCTAGAAACGGCACCTTCAAAGTGGCCTCTGGCATCCCGTTTCTGCTGGTGCCATGTGCTGAGCACCCAAACGGGAAAGGAAGCCAGTCCCTGCTCTCGGGAAGGAGGCAAACGAGCATTTACGAAGCCCTCGCTGTGTGCCCCAGGGGGAATGTGCACCACGTCATCAGGGCCTGGGCTGGAGCTGAACCAGCTACTTCGAAAGGCTTCTGAGAGTAAACCGTGGGGTCAGCAAGACTCCAGAAGGGATATTTAACCTGGGCAGAAAGATGTCTTTCAAGCACCGAGATTGGGCGCATGAACCTCAAATGCGGAACAAAAAGCCTATTTGCAGGAAATACTACCTAACACATGCTCCTGCTGGGGGTAGCACCTGCTGAATCACAAATTTCTTCGGTGCCCCACTCAAGATGCCTTGTTTAAAGACCTCTAAGTAGCCCTGGTCCAGAACCCTCATTCCTTGAAAAAATGGAGGAAGGAGACATGAAGAGATGGATTTCCCTATCAAGTCCAAGACAATCCTGGTCGCTGGAGCGTGCAGGTGGCTCCCTGAGGTCTGGAATACACCCGGCCCAACCTCAGCCACCTGGCAGGGCGCTGACCACATCTGACTCCTTCCAGTTGCCCTTCGGACATTATGAGAATATCTGGAGAACTGGCCTGTGGTAGAGAGATGGGACTTACGCTTGGCCCTAGGGGACGAAACTAGGAAAAACTGGGGACAAGTGGCCAAGAGTAAAAGGCCCATCTTTCTGGGCCCTGGAGTTGTGAGCTGGTGGCCATCGAGGGTCACCCAGTGCTGCCTCAGGACCAAGGGGTGCTTCTCTGCACGCACGTCTTCAAAAAAGGTGGAACGAGACTCCTGTTTGGGCAGGGTGGGCCGGATGGCCTCTGGGGGAGCTTCCACCCTGGAATCCTGGGATGTCTCTAGGCCTTCTTCATTGAAGGAAAAGACTTAAATTTTTGTCTGGACCTTCCTGCCACCTGCACGTCTCTGTTCTTTGTCAGCAACCAGTCAGTCTATGCCTCATAAGCAAGAGATACTTGAGGGAATGCTGTGGGCCCAGAGTGAATGAGGAACAGCCTTCCTCCAGGTCACCTGGTACAGGTTCATACCCCGCCACCCCCTCCCCTCCACCCAGGCTCATAGATGAGGAAAACAGCCTGGAGTGTCTTCCCAACTTTTAAAGTACTCGGGGGAATAAACTGTCAAAATCTGCTAGTACAATTCATCAGTAACTCATTCCATAGAAAAGTGATTTTGACAAAGCTATAGATGACATCTACTCAGAGGCTCAGAGGACTGAGCTCTACAAACAGTTAAGTCACTGTTGGAAGTCTTTTAAAAAAAAAATCTTTAAAAATTTACAATAATGCAGCCCGAAATCTACTACAGAGCCTTAGGAACTACTCCTGCCAGGTCTGAGAGAGGCCATCTAACCTAGGGCAGAACACCCCAGCGACAGGAACCTCTACTTTGTGAGGCAGCCCTTTTCATGTGCTTTACCATCTCCTCCTTTGGAGACCCTTGCTGACCTCCTGTGTTGTCTCCAAAGTAATGGCTCTCTCCCCTTTCTGTTGTCTGCAACTGCAATTGGTCCTCTAAGAGTTCAATGGCAAGAAAGGGTCAAACCTGGGAAAGAGTCCAAAGTGAAGGACAGAGTCCTACAGCAATTCCATCAACTACCCACTTCCTAAATCATCTCCCAGGGCTCAATTCACTCACAGCCTCTGAGTAGGAAGGGATGCTAAAACCATCGGGCCCAACGCAAGGCCACCTTGTCAATCAGCAAGCATTTACTAAGCGCCAGGCACCGGGGCTAGAAAACCAAGAATGAAGCATCCCCTGCCATCCCGCCCCAGGAGCTCTGAGGCCATTGAGGGCAGATATGTCATCTGCACAGAGAAGTACGGAGAATATGCAAAATGAGGCATGATCTGCAGATCTCCATTCCTCCACCACGCCAACAGCTTGGTAGCCTTCCCAGCACTCCCAGCTCACCAGCCTTGAGTTCGAAGACAATCTCCTTCTCCTTCTGATTGGGACAAATGCATAATGATATATAAAAGGTAAATTGCATAGAAATCAAATCAGTAAGTAAATATACCCGTAGTGCTGTGATTCTGAAAGGGTCTCGGAGTCTCCCGTCTTCATCTTTCAGGTTATAACCTTCTGCTCTCTTATCTCGTTCACTGATTTTCCATAATTTAATAGTTTTATCTGAAAATAAAAGGTCTTTGTCTTTACGTGCAGATGAGAAGCTCACATTGATCACATGACTATGAGGCCCCTGTAGTCACAAACCCAAACCCAGGAGGAAGCGTCTGTGTTGAGGCTACAAGAGGGTTCTGAGACCATTAACCTGCCCCCTCTCAGGCTCAGACGGTTTGTCATTTCTGCCTCTAGGGAACCACAAATAAATATATCTAGGACACAGAATACTGTTTCAACATTTTTAGCCTGTGACTAATCCCATTATCACCTCCCACTTATCGAATGATTTTCTGTAGAAGGTTTAACTCAGAAAAAAGTAGCAGGATGAGATCACACAAGCAGCAGCGGAGGGACCCAGCAACCTGGGAACCCAGAGCCCAAGGAAACTCCCATGGGGCAGGAAGCCTTACCGTTAGTAGACAGCAGGAAGTGAGCAGCATTCTGTTGCGGTAACCACCTAATCTTATTAATTTTTTCCTCAATTTCTAGACTTTTCAGATAGTCAAATTCAGGTTCGTGACTTTGAAAGGTACTGTAAACATTATATTCGCCCCTAGAATGAGGACGGCTTTTATTCTGAAAGGAAAACATGACAGTTGCTTTAATGAACAAACACACGTCCAGAGGGAGGAAACATTTACTACATAATCTATACAGTCAAACAATCCCACATAAAAAGGAAACTAAAGAGCAAATTACAAATAAAGGGACAACTAGAGGTAGAGTGGCCTGTGATTTCATCGGTTAAAGGAGCTCCCATGGGAGAAAACTCCCTCTAGCAATGCGGGTGGGCGCAGCTGCCCACAATGCCTAGTCCAGGGTCGTCCAGCCAGTGCTGGTCTTCATACCTGAACTCCAGTTCTCTAACCTTGGGAAGGGAGGATTAGGGTAAAAAAAATAAATAAATTTAACCATTTACATGCAAAATCACCTAACTTTCTAAATCTAACAAGGGCAATTATTTGGTCCTAATCACCACTCCCCTTAACCAGGGAATATCAATCAGTCAATATTTATTAAGTGCTGTGTGCCAGGCACTTTGCTAAGCACTGGGGACTCAAAAAGAGGCAGAGTACCTGTCCTTAAGGAGTTTACAATCTAACAGGAGAGACAACATGCAAACAAATATATACGAAGCAAGTCACATACAAGACAATAGAGAATTAACAGAGGGAAGGCACTAGAAGGAAGAAGGGTTGGGGAAGACTCTGCAGAAGGTGGGAGCCAGCAATCAGAGGAAGTGGTGCACGGAGAGCACTGGGGCACGTGGGGCAGCCAGAGAGAACACCCAGAGCCCAGAGCCGGAACATCTCGTCTGTTGGACAGCCAGGAGGCTGGGGTCATGGGACCCAGGAAAGGGAGGAGGGGCCTGGGTTATGGCAGGCTCTGAGTGCTAAACAGAGCGTTCTGCATTTGCTCCTGAAGGCGGCAGGGGCTGGTGTCAGAGGAGGAGAGAAAGGGGCAGATTGGGGAGATGTTGCACAGGTGAAATCGACAAGCCTTGGCGCCATGTTGGAGATGGGGGGTGAGAGGCAGTGCGGAGTCCAGACTGACTCCAGGATTGGGAGCCAGAGGGGCTGGAAGGAGGGGGTGTCCTCAACAGTTACAGGGAGGGTGGATTTAGGGAGAAGGAGAATGAGTACTGTTGTGGTTATGTTAGGTTTAACACGTCTACCGGGCATCCAGTTTGAGACATCTGAAAGGCAGATGGAGATGAAAGATTGGAAGATGGCAGAAACTGGAGCAGGAAGGGCAGATCTGAGAAACAGGATATTTAAGGATACAGTTATACTTTTTCATTATGTTTCAATATAATGTAGCGAAAAACGTGGAGAATAGATAAAAATAAACACACAGAAGACGTCTTTAAAGTTTCTGACTACTGATTAAAAACGGTAATAATAAAAAACTTTGGGGAATTGTCCAAAGTAATCTTGGGAATGAGTGAAACCACCACCAGAACTTGGGAAGGAACTTGGAGATCTTTTGGTGCGCAGTACTACTTGTTACCCAAAATGCGTAAATGTCGACATTCCAAGCAGTGCCCCCCTTCTCCACCCTGGCTGAGGAGAGAAAGCAGTATTCATTCATAACGGCTCCCCTCGGGGACTGTAGAGAATACTGTGGTTACAGTCTGGCCCTACCCATCAACCAACAATCATTTACCAAGCGTCTCTGACGATGCAGGCATCCAGTTACCTACCACCCACCGTAAGGCATCGGCCCACCAGTGGCCTCGGGACGGGGGGAAGGGAGGCCCTCTTGAGTCAGGAACGTCTCACTATCCCACTAAGCTTCTGGGAAGAGAGTTTCCCGAGCCAAGGAAATCACAGGGTGCAGCAAACGTAGCCGAGTGAGTGCATCCGCACTGCTAAGGAGGTGATTGTGTCCCAGCCCACCCTCGCTCACTCACTCACCTGTGTGTCTCGGTCACCTCAGAGTTGGCAGGTGTTTAAAACAAAGGAAACCCCAAACAAATCTCACAATCAACACGACTGCAAAGGGGGCTCTCTATGCAGCCAGGCACACCCTAGTAAACACAGGCCCTGGTCACGGCGCCCATTCCCTCCCTGCATTAGCATGGCCTCTAACCTTCTCTTCGAGGCACTTCCCTACTTCAGGTGGTTCAAGTGCTGACACTCCTTTTCTTCATCTGTAAAACGGGGCTTCTACCATCTGGCTGTCTACTGGAGAGAGCAAGAAGCCGAAGCCTGTCTGCCAGAGGTCCCAGGTTGTGTCCCTGTCTTCTGTTTACTCCATAAATGTCATCCGTGTGACTTTTCCAGCTGCCTCCTCCCCTGGGCTGTGACGATCTCCAGCCCATCTTGGAATTCCCAGTGCTTAGCACAGTGCCTGCACACAGTAGGCTCGCAGTCGAGGCCCTCCTGACCTGGCAGCACCCTCTACTCTCTCAGCCCCACTGTCCACAGCAGCCCAAGTGGTAGAGCCTGTGTCTGGAGACGCTTCCTTGCTTCCTTTTGCCGTGACTCTGCCCGGCTCTTCCGGGGCCATCTCCATCCCCCTTGTCCCTTCACTCATCCTCACCCTCCCGTCAAGCCTCCCCAGCACACCCCTCCTGGTTCCTCACTTCAGGCTTTTCATCTATGACCTCCTGGGGTATGCGACGCTCTTCACTGCCCCGAAGCCCGCAGGGGCCCTGGCCTGAGACCCAGGTAGGTTCGATGGGAGGAAGATGGAGGCAGCAAAATCCAGCCCCCACCAGTTCCAGTTACTCTGACAAAGCCCCCCAAAGCCTCCCTTCCAGCGGATGATGTGCAGAGAAGCCAACAGCCACGCCCTCCACATCATCATCTGTATGTTTTCCCAGGAAATTCCACTAAGACAAAGCAATCTCTCTATCGCATGAAACTTATCCTCGATGAACTTCATTTATGGGGATAGACAAGTGCTCTGTTCCTGACACTGCCCATTAAAGTGTGATGTGGGGATTGTCCATGAGCAGCTAGTGATGTGGGCCTCAGTTTCCTGACCTGTAAAAGGCGGAGGCTGAAGCAAAGATGCCCTCTAAGGACCCCGCCAGCTCTGCTGCTAGGATCCTATGGAGATAAGAGGCGTGTTTGCAAAACACCGTAGAGGGGATTTCTTTGTCAGTGGTGGATAGCAAAAAAATCTAGAATTTTCAGCTGAAATGGTTCTTCTGAATGTTCAAGGGATGTGATCAACTAAGCAAGAGTGAACATTTCATCTTCTACTCACTGAACACTTTGGCAATGATCACATGTGAACACACGAGGACACAGTGACTGGGGCAAGCCCTGAACAAGGGAGAAGAAGGGGGGGGCCACCCTGAGAAAGCAAAGGCAATGGGGAGAAGCCAGCAGGCGATCACACCTGATTTCCCGGACACGTGGGTCAGCACTGCCACCGGCCCAACTGTTCAGGCAGCAGGGATGCCTGGGGCGCCTGGGCCACCTAGAATGCCAGTTTCAAAATTCTTTTGGGGGAAAAAGTTTTGACTAATTAATACAAAAACATTTAGGATTCGGGGAGTGGGGACACGGTCACACACACCAGCACCACAGAATGGCCCCTAATGCTTGGATGTACGTGTGTGTGCGCCCGTGTGCGCCGTGGCTGTCCCTACCACTGCCACAGCAGTCAAGTGTTCTATGAAACCACCAAGAAAAACCTCCACTTTCAGTAAGAGGCCAAAGTCAGGGTCAGGGTTGGGCATCAAATGTCGGACGGTCTGTCAACGACCCGGACATCCCAAGCAAGAGTTTCTAACAGCAGTGTTTGTCTACCAGATGTCACCATCCCAAAGCAAGTGTTTTCAAAGGCACAGAGGAGCGATTGTGGGGAGCCAGCAGTTGTCAGCCCCCTGGATTCCTCCTCCCTGCTGACGGCAGAGAAGCTCGCCTTGTCCAGCCCGTGCCTCCCCCCTCCCCCCATGGTGACATCAAAGAACGACCCCCCTACAGCTTCCCGTAAGTGAATCCTCGCTGCTAGCAAGGGCGCCAGCATTGGCTGCAGAACACAAACACATCATCTTCTTCTGCAGTTAGAAGACTCCTTCTGAGACTCAAGGGGAACCCGGACCCTCTGGCCACTGCCCCCGAGCAGATAAGGGGGCACCCCAATTTCACCCTTGATGCCAGACGGCTTGACGCTGGCCCCACTTCCCATCGCCATCCTTTTCTTGGCTGGTGCCGGCTGGAGAAGACCCTCCCTCCTGAACTTGGCTCGAAAAGCCAGAGTTTCAAGGAAGCTGGCTGCATGTACTCAACACCCACCCCTACCCCCCACCCCCCTGCTTTTACAGAAAATGCAAGGAGCTACCGGGAGACAAAATGGGTCCAGGGAATGGTGCTTAGGAAGGTGAGGTGCATCCCTGGAAACCATCTACCATCTCTGCCCTTCTCCCAGGAGGCAGGGGCAGGGGCCGGCCAGCAGCGCTAACCCCGGCTCTAGGGTGGTCCCGCCCCCACTCCCTGTCTTTTAGCTGCAGAGGCCCTTTTCTGCAGGAAGTGCTGCACCAGTCCTGGTAGCATGGAGGGTCGGCTTCAAGAGCCACTTACAGGAAACTGCAGACTGAGCCTCCTCTGATATCCCAGGCCAAGCAGCTTCAAGACCAGCACCGCCATGCATGAGCTAGGCAGAAGAGAAGACAGTTACTGGGAGGGGCTCACGGGGAGTGCCAAACTCACTTGGCTAAGCCAGTCCAAGGCCACTGTCCCCTGGAGAGGCAGGGACAAAACTCCCCACAAAGTGCTAAAGGAGACACTTCTCAGGGGGGACATGAGAAACACACACCATGGAATTTGAGAGCTGACAAGAACCTTCAGGTTGTCAAGGTGGAGACGTCTCATTTCTGACCTAAGGCCACTGATCGCTCCTCACCAGGTGCTGGCAAGGCCCCGTTGAGGACCTCAGCTGACATTTCACTACACTTTAAGGGGTACCAAGCACTATCCTCACAATTCCACAAGATGGGGCTCATGAGTATCGCCACTGCTATTTCACAGATGAAGAAACTGAGGCTCAGCCAGGCAGGGACACCCAACCAAGTGGAGTCATTTCCGCTCCTTGTAAGGATGCACACACACACTGACACACAGACACAGAGACTAAATCTGTGGTTCAGTCATTTCAGTTGTGTCCAACTCTTCGTGATTCCACTTGGGGTTTTCTTGGCAGAGATACTGGAGTGGTTTGCCATGCCCTCCTCTAGCTCATTTTGCAGAAGGGGAAACCAATGCAAACAGGGTGAAGCGACTTGCCCAGGGTCACATAACTAGTGTCTCAGGCCAGATTTGAACTCTGGTCTTCCTGGCTCCAGGCGTGGTGCTCTATCTACTGAGAATAGGGAACTCTGGTGACTGTAAAAAGATGTTCATCACAGCCCTTACATTTGGCAATGCTGATGATGCCCATGTTTTGGAAACACAGAAAATCTGAAGACAATTCAAGCATTCGGTTACTGCAAAGGCAGCCCCACTTCAATCTGGCTAGGTGACACACTGGAGTATTAATGGCCCATCTCGCACAGCCACTTAACAGAGCCTGCACCCCGTAAGAGATAGTTGTACTGATTTTTGTGCTGAAGATATGAATTACCGTGAGGACAAGAGCAGCAGAACTCAGCTGGTCTCGTCTCCCAAGTGAGTCTGTAAATGTCGTGGGAAGGCCAAGGACCTGCTTGCCCTCTCTCCCTCCCGCTCAGGTCCAGTACATAGGGATGACTCACAACTATAATTTTCTTTTTCAAAGTTAAAAGTAGCCTACACAAGTATTCAGTAATTGTGTCCTCAACATTTTGCTGTAGAAAAATGCTAAACTTAACCATCTAGAGTAGGAAAATGGTTCTTCTGGGGTGGGTGATTTCTATTGCAAATAGAATAAATGAAGACTTCTCTGAAAATCTCCCCAAGAACTCTTCTAACACGTCGACTGCACAGAGATGTGCCCAGGCTCCAACCTGCTTCCATGTAATGTTAGCCCATGTGAAGTAAGCACATGCATTCTGTGGCTCTTGAGTCACTAACCTCTTGTTCCTTCTGAAATATAACCACTCTGCCGCCCTTGTCTCCAGTTGCAAGAAGATCTCCAGAGTAATTAAATTCGACAGTTGAAATGATATCAGCTGTTAACAAAACACAAATAACATGATTTATTTTGGAGGAAAAAAAAAAATCAAACCAAGTAAAAAAGCCCCCAAACAGCAGTAAACAGAAATTAAATTCTTAATGAAAGAATCAAAACCTTCTTGCGCCTTACACGGACAATATTTTAGATATTAAAATGAACTTGACCGGCTGCCCTGGCATCCCAGGACACTGCGTCTGGTGCAGCGTCCACCTTTCCCTGTGCCCCACCAGCACTGGAACAGTGTGTTCCATTTGAAACCGAAGGCCCAGGGCTGACACGACAGGCCATCACTGAGAAATGGATGCAAAGAAGTGGGTCAGGTTTTCTAACTCGAACCCTCCCCCACAGATACTGGGAATCTACCTCCTTGTGGAAAAGGCCAATGGGCAAACAAACCTCCAGCCCTTTAGAGGCAAAATGGCCTTTGGAAACAATCGAGTCCGAGGCTCTTGATCTTACCAAGAAGGAAACCCAAGGACATGTTGATGAAAAAGTATTTTATTGCTTCAAACCCGATACAAGACCATTTCATAGGAAATCTCCTGGATTAAGCATACAACTCTCAAAAGAAACACTTGTCTCCTGTTTCTATGTTTCCCCAAGATACTGAACCAAAGCCCTGGGCCCGATTCCCTGTTGGACCAGTCAGCTACACTCTGCTCCAATGCCCCCAGCTTCCCAGCAACTCTAACTCACAGGAGATGATGGAGGCCAGGTGAGAGAACTCTCATGGACCACCAGGCATGCAGCCTTGCTGATTAACAACTCAGATTACATGTGTGTGGGGCAGCTAGGTGGCACTGTGGATAGAGCCCTGGAGTCAGGAGGACCTTACTTCAAATCCGGCCTCAGACACATAACACTCACTAGCTGTGTGACTCTGGGCAAGTCACTTAACCCCAGTTGCCTCACCAAAAAAAACAAACAACAAATTACACATGTGACTAATGGGAAAGGAAGGACAAATACATGACTACTACATCTTAACAGGTTTCTTTTTTAAACTAAGAGATTACAACCAAGTTTGAGAAGCCCTATGCCTCAGATTCCCATGCAGACCTTTAAAACAAAGGATTTTCTAAACTGATACAATTTAGCTACTCTTCAAAGGTTCTACAGATACAGGGAAAGAGTCCATTGATTTTGGCTTTGTTTGCTGACGTTACATTACTGAGACCCGAGCAAATGATGACAAGCCCCTTTCCCTGAAGAGCCATAATTCAGTTTTAAGCTACTGGTAATTCTTAGATTTGTTAACAAAAGTAAAAGAGTCAGTGTGAGAAGCAGAGACTGTCACGGTACAACTGAATAAAATGAGAATGATGCTGGTGAGGGGACAGCTCCAGAGCAACCTGGGAAGACGCGGATGAACTGATGCCCCTCGCCTCCGGACCATGGCAGCAGTACTCGTGCCAGTCCAGTCTCTCTGCAGCCACTCAAGTGACCGTCAGTCAAGCTGAGGTCCGATCACATCACCCCACCCCCACTTAACAAAACTCCAGCGCTAGGGCATTTGGTGTGTTCACAACCTGGTCCCTTCTAAACTTACCACCTGATTCCCCTCAACACACTCTGCAATCCAGTGCCTCGGCCTTGCTCAGAAGGCGCATCGCCAGCCTCTGGCCCCCCTGGGCGTCTGGAATGGCCTCCCTCCTCCACCTTCTGCAAGAAGCCTTGAAAAGCTTGAAAGATCCCTGCTAACACAACCTCCGACTTGTCCCAGGTGCAGCGCGTGTGCACACACCACGAGCCTCTTGTCACCTGTTACACTGGCTGCATCTCGTGAGCAGGCATTGTCCTTTGCCTTTCTCTGCATCCCCAGCATTTGCTTGGTGCTGGGCCCAGGGGAGGTGCTTGAGAAATGCTGGCTGACTGAAAACAACCAACAGCTTCCTAGTATTTGGCCCTATCCCCAGAGGGGGATGGGCACCTCCCCTCTGGGCTCCATCCAGGAACGGCTGGATGATGACCCCTGGGATTCCTGCTCACACACACATGCCCCATCTCAAGCCAGATTTTGTTGCTACAGGTGGGACACTGCAATCACGGAGCCAAGGTCATGCTCTTCAAGGATCAGCAACACCCTGCATATGAGGAAGGCCACACAGCCTGAGGTTGGGAATGAACATCTGTAGTGTACAAGCACACACGTACATACACACACACACACACACACACACACACACGTACGTGACTTTGCCTTGGGTTAAGAGCCAGACAGAGGCAGTCACTTGGCACCGTCTCCTCTGTCCCAGTAGCCACACATAAGGACAGGCTTCCGTCCTGGCAGCGGAGCTCACAAGTGTGGTGCGAGACTCCAGCTATTCGTTAAAACGACCACAACTCTTTCACAGCATCTGCTCTGTGGTTTCGATGACTTTTCCTACAATTGTATCTAAGGATGCATTTGCTTCTTAGGATTTTCACTCCTCATGCCATTCTTCCTCTGAGGAATACAAAGCTGGAGATTCTATGAATCACTGCAATATCGAACTCCTACTATGTACTGGAGAAACAGGAAAGCCTGTCACAGCCTGACAGGACACCTGTTCTGGGGGAGGGGACAGCACACAGGGAAGGTCTCAGCCGCAAGGCCTACGGAAAGGTGCCGGGGGGGAGGGGCCTTTAGGATTCAGCCACAAAGCAGAGTGGGGATGGTTCTTCTTTCAGGTCATTTCCATGATACAATAGTATCAGCTTTTGATGTTGAACCATGGGACAGGACCAAGGACTTTCCTTTCCAGGTCATCAGGAGCAGGTCTAGGTTGTGGTAGCTGAGGGCACTGGGCTGGAAGCCTGGGTATTTCCAAGGCTCTTGGGTTCAGAGTCCTGGGCTGTCTCCATCAGGGCCCGTGGGGAGATGGTGCAGATGGTGGTGGTGGTCTGCCCTGCCTGGCATGACCTACTTCCCCAGATCAGGCCAAGTAGCCTGGGAGGTGCACACTCATTTATGAAGAGAGGGGTAGGGGTGTGTGTGTGCATGTGTATGTGTGCGCGTGCGTGCGAGTGAACAGATAGATGGATAGAAAGATGAATGGATGGATGGTTGGATAGATAGATAATCAGTGTTCTGTTACTCCTGCATTCATGGGTCAATCTCAAGGGGAAAAGCTCTAAACTCTGCCATCACTTGGCAGAATGCCAAGGCTAGCCGAGGAAGAGCTCCCTATGAAGTCTACGGCACATGTCAGCTGCAAGCACACCCTCCAATGTCGTCTAAAGCACTCCTCGTTTTCTTTTACTTTTCCTCTAAAAGCTGAAGAAAGGTCTCTGTGCCCCCAGTGAATTGGGACGTGACTGTGAGCGTTCACCAGAGCCCACAAGTTCGCCCCCCTCCTCCGGAGATAGCCAGGTTCTAGTATTAGGCAATGTTCCCATCTCCCATCCCCACCCCCTCAGTCAAGTCCTGTGCTCACAGATGCCACAGCTCAGCAACAGGCCCCTGCTCCCTCACCATTCGCCACACTGCAAGTCCCTGAAAGGAGGGAGCCCGCCACTTCTTCTGCATAAAGAACGAAGACCAGGAAGCAATCTTTTTAGCTCTGAAGTTACTGCCCACCTCCGGATGCGGCCCCTTCCCATCTCCAGATGGTCTTCCAAACAGCCTTTAATAAATCTCACTTGGCGTGTAAGTCTGTGGGTGGGTTTTTTTTCCCCTTTTCCTTTCACTAGGGAGGATGCTGTTACCACAGAATCACTTGCAAAGGCCTCTGCTGCCAAACTTACGTGTTGAAAGCCTTCCCTTAGATGGCTGGAGTGGGTGGCCTTCATTCACAGGTAAAGGGTTGTCATTCGGAAGGAGAATCAGGGAGGTTCTGCTGTGTTCCAGAGGACCAAAGGACACGCAGGGAGAAGAGGCAGAGGAGAGGATTCAGAAGGACAAAGCTCTGTGGCCAGCCAGCCGGCCTGCCTCTACTCCTCTAATCATCCTCCTCATCATTTCTTCCATCACACTAAATACCATCACATTCACCTGCCACCAGAGTCAATGCCTAGGGGCATCTCATCTCACAGGGTTGTTGGGAGAATCAAAGAATCAAAGAAATGACAAGGGAAAGCCTGCTAGATCAAGCCCGCGCTATTGGTGTCATTCATCTCCTTGGGAATTTAGTAGCCGTGCAATTTCTGTGTCAAAAGGCAGGGCTGTTTGAGTCACTTCCCCAGCAAAATCCCCACTAGCTCTGCAAGGCCCAGCTGTTATTCTTTGAGGACCACATGGCACCCAACACAGTACTATGCCCACAGGAGGCAACTGACACCCACCTGCTTAATGGAATTAGCTTCTAATGATAATCACCATTTTTAAATGCTACACCAAGACTAAATGAGGATGACTGATGTTTTCAAATTCCACTTTCACTGTGACTTATTTCTACAGACGAAGTGAAATCCTGACCATCAGTAGAAACCAAAATGGGGGTAAAGGCAACGGGAAGGGAAGTCAAAGTCTTTATAAGGTAATTTCAAATGAGCAAAATGGTTTTAATCAAATGCAGTTTTAGACATAATATGTTAGGGGACAGGGACACTGAACCCACCCACCTTCTTCACTCTCCCGTTCAGTCAGCTCTGTCTGTGATCCACTTCAGATCTGAACACCAACCAGATGCCCACCCTCCACGTTTGCATGGTCTTCTCACGCACCCCAATTATGAGAAACAGCAAGACCCCTTCCCTTCTTCCTCCATTCCAACACTAGTGTTCTCCTCTCCCTCAGAACAGAATTGAGCCACCCGAGGGCCTCAATGCCCTTTGAAGACATTTAAGGCTCTGAAGGGAGACTGGTATCTTCTCCCTCTATTAAAATGTTAGTACTACATCATCCTACACGTCCTTCCAACAGATCAACTCAATGTAGGTTTCTTTGGACTTTTGCGTCTGTCTTTCAAAGCCGCTCCTCACCTCTGATCTTTTCATCAGAGACGCTTCCAAGTTCTCAATTCCAGAGGTGTCACACCAGCCACCACAGACCTGGGGGGGC